TTGACAGACTTTCAGATAAAGATGGCTGAGAATTTCATTACGTTCTTTATCAATAAGCAAAAATGTATGAGAATATATAACAGCTGTGTGATTAGAGTAAAACACATGGGCCTATGTGATCATTGAGATCTCTTCTGATTGTCTAGTGATTGGATGGGAATTACCAGCCTTTTTCAGTGCTCATATGTTTCATAGAATACAAGTGAAATTACTATGATGGGAAACAGAATTGCACCTAAATAGGATCTCAGTCTCTGGATCCTAGTAAATTCAATGTCAAAATGCCTCTTATTTCAATTGAAGTTGTAAAATGAAGCTTCATTTCATAAAGCAATTGCATATGTTGATTCTATTTTACAATCATTACTGTAGTTCATGTTTCTTCCTATCATGCCTAAAAGATTGATATCTGTGTACCCCTTCACAGGTTGTATAAGAAACCCAAGTAGACAATGCAAGTGTTGCCACTGACTTAATTGTTATTCATATCCTAGTCACCTTGTGGCTTGACTACTGCAACACACTCTACATGGGGCTTCCCTTGAAGACCACATGGAAGTTTCAACCAGTACAGAATGCCTTAGTATGGCCATATAAGGCCTCAGCTTCATGAGCTCCATTGGTTATCGGTTTGCTTCTGGGTACAATTCAAGGTGTTGGTTGTTACCTATAGATCCAACCATGGCATAGGGCTTGGTCACTCGAGGGACCATAACATTTGCCTGGCTAATTCGATCCTGCAGGGTTAGTGCACTCCGGGTTCCTTCAAATAAACAATGTCATCTCTCAGGATCCCGGAAGCGCACCTTCTCTGTAGCAATGTCTGTCTTCTGGAACAAGGCTCCCCCTGAGATCCAGATGGCCTCCACTCTGCTGTTATTTAGAAGAGCCATGAAGACCTGACTTTTCACCCTGGCCTTTGGCAAGAAAAACTGAGACCTCTCACTTCATCACACTTGCTATTTTTTATCTTTATCTTTATTTTTTATGTTTTATTGATTTTATTGTAATTTGTTTCTTTGATTGTTGTGAGCTGCCCATTGACGTTGAGAGTCAAGCGGCATACAAGTTTAATAAATTATTATTATTACTAATGTATAGCCATTTTCATGTTCCAAAAGACTTACAGGCATTAGAAATCCTTTGTAAGGAAAACAATTTGGACATGTAATATTAAGAATCATAAGTAGTAATAGTAGTATAACTTTATTGATTAGTCACTTGACCGTATCAAAAAACAGTGGGCGTCAGCCACAATAAAATAGAATAAAATAAGGTATAATGAAGTAAGATGAGATAAAATAGAGTAAGATAGGATAAAATAAAAGATAAGTGAAATAAAATAAAGATAAAATAGAGTACATAAACGTAAGTACTAAAATACAAAACAGTTTAAATGAATGTATCACCTCTACATGCTACCCCAATGTGTTCTACAAAATGTGTTCTCAGTTGAACAGTCCTGACTATAAACTTAGCAATTCTAATGACTACATATGTGTTTGTGCCCTGAAGGAAATAAGATAATCTTTTGTTACAGTCCCAATGTATAGTTCTGTATAGTAGTGCCTGTAAATATTGAGCCCTAGCTAGGGCATATAGTTGGCAGTCGAATAGGATGTGTGGAATGTCTTCTGTTTCTGGTACTCTACAAACACACATTCTCTCAAAGCACTTGGTGGAATTGTCCATATTTATCCATAAAATCCAGCTGCTCAAATCTGGCTCTGGTAAGGGCTATCTATGATACTCTGTCAGGTGTTTTTCTGTTTGAAAAGACATTTTATTCTTGGCCAGACATTTCAATGAATTGATGTTTGCAAGTGACTCAGTATCAGTTTGGGCATTAACATACGACTCTTTGAAGAGGCCTGATGTCTGGCTGAGAGTAGATATTGTGTTGAGAATCTGTGAGATGATTTTGAGAATTTGATTCATCTGTGTGGTGGGTTGAAGTGTGCCCATTTGTTCCTCAAGGCACATTTTTGGTAGCCTTTTGGGTCCTACTGGAAGAATCTTCCACCAGCAGTTAAAGACTTTAATTACTGTTAGGGTGTAAATGGAGTGGGTGCCTGTTTCAGCCCTGACTGCTGTTGCAGGTGCATTCCTATCGGTCCCCAGAATAAATCTTAAAAAGCAGGCTTGATTTTGTGCAGGGGGGCCTTTTATAGGCCCCACAATTCTGCACCATATGTTAGCACTGGTGCAATTTTTTCCTTGTGAACCTTTAAAATGGAGGTCAGAGTGCATGCGTGGTTATAACTGAGTAATTTAGTTAGCATTTTAGAGCTTACTGTGGCCTTTACTGAATTTAATTTGAAGTGGTTAGCCCAAGGCCCTGTATACATAAAAACCACACTTAAATATGAGAAAAAGTCTATTTGTTCTATAGGCAACCATTCCAAGTGCCAGTTTTCCAAAAACCACCACTTTGCATTTAGTCTTGTTAATGTTCAAAGAATTGCAGGCACCCTAGGAACTACATTTTCCCATCAATCTTCTCAAATGATGTGGTTCATCATCTACATACAAAAGGATGTTATGTCTGTTAAGGATTTTTGGCATGCATCAGTAGAATGGAGGAATACTGAGATATCATTAACCCAAAGGTTGAATAACATCAAGGCCAAGATGCATCCTTCCCTAACACCTTTATAAGTGGGTATGCTCTGTGTGAGAGAGCCGTTGACTCCAGTGTGGACTTTCACGCATGTATTTGTATAGAGGACCTTTACAGGTATAGAAGTCTGAGTTCCATATTGGCCTGCTTCTTCATAAGGTGTCTCTGTTTATGGAGTCAAATGCCATGCTAAACTCTATGAAAGATGTAAATAGGTGCTTACCATCTGTTGTATATTTAGTAATAGGATGGTGTAGAATGAAACAATTATCTATTGTAGAGCGCCCAGGTCTGAACCCAGCTCATTAGTTCTTCCACTAATATGCTCTTCTCAATCACCCAGTTCTCTATTTTGCTCAGGAGATGTTTTGCATATAACTTAGCTGTTATATCAATAAGGCTTATGAGTCTAATTTTTAGGATCTTCCTTGTCTCCTTTTTTGTGTATGGGAACTATAATAGAGTTCCCATCCTGCTGGGATATGGCCAGTGTTATCTACATAAGTACACCGCCTTGCCAGTAGTGGATCCCACCAGTTAAAATGTGTTCTGAAAAGTTCTGGGGGTAGGAGGTCTTCACCAGGTACCTCACTAGGTTTCAGTGACTGAATAATGTGTTTAATTTTGGTCACTCATTGGTAGCCAAGGAGGGAGGTTATCAAGGTCAGAAGCTCAGTAGTCATCTTTTCTGGGTTATACGAATCATACGGACAAAGATTGTTATGGGAAATAAGAGACTAATCAATTGATTGTTGTCTAAGCTTTCATTGACCAGTCATTTCATCAAATTAAAAGTGGGCTGGGATCCACAAAGTCTCTGAACTACACATATTATTACAACTATTTTTATGTACACTGATAGGCTCTTCAGACATATCAAAATGACTCAGCCATGAGAAGAATGCTAAATCAGCTGTATTTTTTTATCATGCCTATTTTTAATGTGGACGGATATCAGTTTAGCTGGACCCAGGTAAGAAATATTTCAACATTAAGGTATTAGTGAAAAATAATATTAATATTAAAGAAGTATGCTTGGAAAAAAGTTTAAATATTTAACTTCTCACTACCTGTGAAAAGATTTGTTTCAAGCATGTCATAGTGTTTTATCTGTATATATGTTGCATTTTCATACTTCAAAAATCTATGGCTAGGATCGATTTTGGAGGAAAACAAGATCAAGGAATTCAAAGTTCCACTGCCATGGAGTAGATGCTAATCGTAATTGGAAAGTGAAATGGTGTGGTGAGTCTAGAAATAGCCTGAGTTTGAACAACAGTTACCTTAATCTGTGTATAATTCAGGTAAATATACAGTAAGTATATGGCTGGCACTCTGATGAGTACTGTTGGAATTAAGTCAGGATCAAATCCCTCTTTTTACTTTTGGCTATAGATTCCCCTTGTCTCTTAATTCTGGCCTCGGAACCTTGTTTGAGTTTTGATCAGATTGTTATATGATCATCATGATTTCACAATATAGATAAATATCCAAACTTTGGCCTGTTTACAAATATTTATTCATATCCCAGCTAATTGTTGAGACTTTGAGATAGCTAAAAACAATAAATATAAGAATAATAAGAGCAACACTAAATGCTAAAAACAGAGATAGTTAAAAATAATTCTAATTCACAGGGAGAAACCATTGATTAAATCTTAAAAACAGGATGGGCTTTGGCTAGCTTGTAAAATATAGTAATGAAAACAGTAGAGATATATGACTCTGAAAATCATTCCCTAGTTTGAGTATCCTCTCCGCAGGCCTATGCCTAATCTCCAAGAAAAAGCTTAACAAACAAACAATTCATGTGGAAGAACATGGACCCCAGATAAAGAGACAGGATGGAGAGTGCCAAATTAATAACACAAATTACAGGAACATTCAGTAGAGAAAAAATATATTTTCCAAAACACAGCCTAAAGTAAGAACCCAGCTGAAATTAATTACAGTTCCTAACTTGTACAGACAAGTAAGACCATGGGACAATGAGATTTTAGCACAACACAGAAACAGAAATCAGAATCCATTTCTGCAGAAATAAAGGACTCAAAAAACAGATGTTTCCTTTGCTTCAGTTACCTGGAATTCCCCCAGAGGCATCAGGGAATGATGATAGTCCTAAGCATTTTCCAGCCTTGGTATTGTTTTAAACATCTGGACATTCCCTCTCTTAGCAGAGGGAAGGAGTTGGGTATCTGACTTTGTATGTGACCATTTTTCCCTTTGGAGATGTGTGTCAATAGTCCAGCATGAGTGGCAAGCTACATTCATAACACCGTTTACTCCAGGTCTTCTGATCAATACTTTTTCTTCAATACTTTATAGCATACAAACAGAAGAGAAAGGAAAAAATCTGTCAATGTTAAAGTCAATCACCTACTTAAAACATGAAAAATAAACTTGTATCAAGTGATACTTTGAACTATATATCATTTATTAAAGTTTCCAGTCCAGCCAAAAACTCTTTTCTCCTTTCTGTCCATTTAACTTTTGCTCAGATAGTACTGTACAGGTAGTCCTCACTTAACAACCACAATTGGGACTGGAATTTAGTTGCTAAGTGATGCAGTCATTAAGCAAATCATCACATGACTGGACCTGATTTTACAAACTTTTTGTGGCAGTCATTAAATGAATCACCATGGTCATTAAGAGAATGACATGGTCGTTAAGTGAATCACGTGATAGTTAAGTGAATCATGTGGTTCCCTATTGATTTTGCTTGCCAGAAGCTGACTGGGAAGGTCGCAAATGGTGCTCAAGTGACACTGGGATGCTGCAACCATCGTAAGCATAAGCTGGTTGCCAAGTGCCCAGATCATGATCACATGACCGTGGGAGTGCTGCGATGGTTGTAACTCTGGGCACCAGACATAAGTCATTTTAGTGCTGTCGTAACTTTGAACGGTCGCTAAACAAACAGTTGTTAAGCAAAGACTACCTGTACTTCTATTTGCATTTTTTCCAAATACAATTTTGCATAGAGTAAATTCATATAACTGTCCTTTCTTTTAACATAAATATAGCTGTCACTTCTTTTAATATAAATAATTTTAGGGGAGAAAAAGGGACACAACAGCAATGAATTTATCCAAAGGTAAAAAGAAATCAATAATAATGACAGAATAAAAGTTAAAAATATTTTACTCTGAATTCTATAGATGTTTGTCATCTTACATTTCCTCTCTCAAGAAAACATGAATAGAGAAGTTGTGGCTTCAGATTTTTAGATCCTTCAGAAATTTAGGTCTTTATTTATTTTAAATATATTTACTTTGAATTTTAAATGAGAAATCTTAGTTCAATTTGCAGATATTAAGCCTTGAAATTCTAAACGAGTGTCTCAGGGTAAATGTGCTTGAGCACATATCTAATTTTTGCATTTGGTCTGCCCAAGTTTGGCATTCAGTGAGCTTTTATTTTGCTTTGCTTTGCTTTTTTAATTCTTTAAGGCAACATTTTTCTGTCACCTCTGTTTTCTTTCTTTTTCCAACCTGAGTACCTTGATGCCACCCTTACTGTGGCATATTATTCTATATGGAATTCAAAAAGAAATATTCTCTCATGAGACAAAGTCTCTGGCCAATATTGGACAGTTGTTTAATTGTTCCTCTCTTTCATTTTACAAATGATTTAATGCAGGGCTCGGCCAAAGTTGTAAGTCCTATAAGACAGATGTTTTTTTTTATACAAAATTGTGAGAGCAAGAAGTTTTCTTTCTACATCCTGTTTTTACTGCACAAGGAAAACCTCACAATAAGGATAATATGGCTAGCCCCGTCTCTGGAGCTGCACATCTGTCTCTATCCCCACTTCTCACCCCCACCTACTGAGCAAAAATGTGAAGCTGGTATGTGGACCTTTGTGCACATGATCAGAAAATCCATATGACTGGCACTCCTAATCACATGGAATAGCACTCATAAACAAGACTGGCTGTTACATTGATTTTTTGATCAGCATATGAAGATTGGAGATGAAACAAGCAAGTTAGAATGTATGTTGGAGGTGGGGTCAGTGATATAGCTCTGCTTCCCTTTCTTAATTAATTAATTAATTCATTTTACTTATTAATTCAATTTATATGGCCACCCATCTCACAATTCTGACCCCAGGATGGCTAACGTAGAATACAAACTCAAAATACAAAATAAATAACAGTATAAAAATATATATAATGACAATCAAGACAAACCAATTAGCAATAAATTAACAAAATGTCATGGGCTTGACAAACTTCCAAATCTCCATTTCCTTTTTTTCCTCCATTTGTTCCATTGGTTAGAGCTGCTATAGTAAAATCTAGAAGTCACAGTTTCCTTATTCTTGAATGGAGTCTCTTTATGTGAATAATACATACGGGCCAGGCAAATCTAACCTACATCTTAAGTTATAAGTTGCTGGAGTTTTTCCTCTTGTAACAGTAAATGCTGCTTAGCTGAAGAGTAAAGATCAAGCTAATTTTATAATAATAATTACAATGATACTTCAGTTTTTTAAGGTAAATCATGGAATGTTTCATCTCATTCTTTTAATACTGAAGATACTCATTATATGAGGAATATTTTGACAAGAATGTTTAACAGTCTGCCACAATAAAACACAAGAAAATTTTGTGGTATACTATTACATGCATGTATTTCTCATGCGAAGCAAATCAGTTACTGATTATGGTTAAGGATAATCACCAAATCGTTCATAAAAAAGAATCACGTTGGCTCAAATAAAGGTCCATCCACCTCTGTTCTTTTAATTTACATGAGTGCTGAAGCTGTAATCAAAGTTTCAAGCAATATCCAAGTCAGTTTAAATTATGTCTTGGCCTGTTGAGAAAATAACAAGTTTTGACTCATACAGAATGCCTTTCTCCTGTTGAAAAAATTATATGCAAGTCATATTTAATACTTGAACTGTGCCAGCCCAATTTGTCCAATTAGAGGAATAGTAGACAACTAATAGTCACATGTAATCTCTGAATCTCTTTTTCTAGTTCCTGGAGCCTCCCATAATTGCACCATGGAATTAGGCAGCAAACTAAATAAGAGGAGCATAATTTTCCACTACTTTTTGTGTAGGAAAATAAGAAAAATAAATGTGTTGAGCTCTGGTACAATTAGTTTACCTTTAAAAGCCTTTTTAAATCCCAGACAGGAAAAGATTGGCTCAAAATCTTCCCTATTCCCATGAAATCATTATATCTCTATTCTGCCTCATCCTAACATCATCATCATCACCTTCAAGGCTGGCCACCTGGAATCAAAAGTATTTTCTGTACTGTTGGAATTATGTCATTGGCCAAGCTGGATTATTTTTCTTCCTTAATATGTTCAAAAGACAGAACCTCGGTCTGATACTATATGTGTGCCCAATGTCCATGACTGTGTTAGGTTTAACTTTGTGGGGATCATTATAATTTCTTTCCTTTCAACATGTAGATGAAGGTGCTTCCCTCCATCCCTGTGATGATACATACTGTGGTCCATTCCCTGAATCTGAACCAGAAGTGAAAGCTGTCGCTCATTTTCTTCGCAAACACCGGACTCAGATAAAAGCCTATTTATCCTTTCATGCATATGCCCAAATGCTCTTGTATCCATACTCTTACAAGTATGCAACTATTCCAAATTTTAACTGTGTGGTAAGTATAGAATTTGAAGAATTCTGCATGTTTGCAGGCCAATTATGCTTTTTAATTTAGTGAAGAAAATGTGCTTCTGAGTCCCCACTTCTCCTTGGCCAGTGAATAATTATAAATCTCATAGGAATCCAAATTTATGATGCCCTGTCCAAAATAAGAGAACAGAGTTGGGGGGGAGGGGGAGAAACACAATTATTTTTAGCTGAGCAAAAAACATTGAAAACTAGGTTTTTAAAATTATTTCATGACTGTATAACCTAATGTAATTTTTCCATCAAATACATTCCATAATGATTGAAGGGATAGTCTCTTTGAGACCTCAAATCGTATTTCAGGGAGGTAGGACAAATGAATGTATTTTAGCAATGGCATTGACATATAATGGTTGGTTCATACATTGCTTTAAGTCAATATATGGTTGGCTTGATTTTGGGTGTAATACAAGACTACAATCCAACTACTGTATCATGGTTGGTAAACCATGATTTTAACCCCAAATTATTGCACAGACATAGACAATTGTGGCTTGCTTAAAAATCATGGCTTAACATGATATGTAAATTCAGACACTGTAAATTGGCAGGATTAGAGAGGAGTAAAGGGAAGGAGAAAGAGGAATCTTATTCTGTATAATGGCCAATATGTTATAGTCCATATAGTATATTCACACATACGCACAAACTTACATACATATGTAGAACACAGATCACATCAGTCATATAGCATCCTGTCTACATTCCCAGAATGAAATGCTATTCCTTCTATTGGTAAAAACTGCACAATTAAGGCCCTGGAAGTTTAATTTTTTTTCACACCACTGATTTTGATTCTTTTTTATTATTGAAAGAGAGTATAAAGAGAAATAAAAGATATGTAAAAAAGAAGATAAAATACAAATAATAAAGTAGAAGTAAACAAGGGATCTACAGGGGCAAGGAGATGATAGTTTTCCAATATAGTCACCCTCTGGGGGAGATGGGCGGCATACAAATTTAAGAAATAAATAAATATCATTCATTACTTATGAGATATAAAATAGGTTATATCACTTTAAAAAAAGTAGGAATCACTGTTAAGGCTTTACCTAAGAATACATATTAGGAACCATGGTCAACACAGTATAAATCACTGACTAAAATTTTAAGCTATAATAAATTGAATAAATACTGAGAATCTAATATTCCATATAAATTAAAATATAGATTCTATACATTAAAAAAAATCTGATTTTGGATGAGGTAAAAATCAAGGTATTAAGGTATAGTCCAGGAATGGTTTTCAATTAGAATTGAATTCTACATCATATTTATTTTTAAGGTACAAAGTTATTCTGGACATTGAAGCATACTACCATAACTTGATTAACCATTCTTCCAAGGAGAGAATCAGCCTTTTCAATAAGAAGCATATTATATCCTTGTAGCAGCTGACATATATAAAGCTAGTTCAGTATACTTCGGAAGAATTTTATTAATTGATTGATTTATATGGCCACTCACCTTACTAATGTGACTCTGGATGGCTAACAAGATGTTAAAAACAAAAGAAAAACTAAACCATAAGAAAAAAAAATTCAACAAAAAGTAAAAACCTACAGTGGTCAATAAACTCAAACAAAATGATTGACAAAAACTTCTCAACAGGCCATTGAATGGCTCAATCCCCAGGCCCTGGAATATATCCAGATCTTCAGTGCTTTGCAAAAGGCTGACTGGGTCCAGGCCAATCTAATCTTGGGAAGTATGGCATTCCAAAAGACAGACACTTGAATGGAAAAGGCATGCTTCATAGGTTCCATAAGATGTCATTGTTTAATCGAAGGGACACGGAGTATGTGCCTCCTGTCAAACCTAGTGGGACAGATAGAAACAACCAGGAAGAGGCAGTTCTGCAAGTAACCTGGCCCCATGCCTTGAAGGGCTTTATAGGTGACAACCAGCACCTTGAATTCTACCTGGAAGCACACTGGGAGCCAGTGCAGCTTGTGGAGCAGAGGTGTAACAAGCATATTGAGGTGCATCCATAACTGCCTGTGCTACTAAATTCTGAACCAGCTGCAGCTTCTCGAAGGTCTTCAAGGGCAGTCCCATGTAGAGCGCATTGCAGTAATCCAATATATAGTTTAGTAAAATTCTTGCTGTTGCATCTCTATTACTGCATTCAAATTCTGCGTCATATTTCAGTCATACAGTCTATTCAGATTCTGAATCATATTTCACCAACAGTTTACAAACAAAACTCAGCAGATGTTCAGAATTGCATTTTCCATGATTCTGACTCTTTCCTGATGGGGAAAGAACCCAGATCATAAGAATTTACTGATAGTCAGAGCCACTATGAGCCCTTGATCTCCTTTTAAATTATAAAATTGGAAAAAGCAATGTATTTCCTAAATTTTCTTCCAAGCCTGGAGAAGTTTATAGTTGGGATCTCCCATAACTTGTACTGATGAATAAGGAAAGAAAGGGTAAGAAAACAATTCTTATTGCTTTTCAAGACTTTTCATGGCCTAAGACAAGATCAAGACAATATTCCACCTTCTCAGTATGTAAACTGTTTTCAGCTTCTTTGCAAAATCAACAGAAAATTCCTTTTCCAGAGTTGGGTCTCATCAGAATAATGTGCTTACCAATGCATTCCTTGTATAACAACATTTTCTCCAGTAACTAAATCACAGTACATCACTATGAATATACAACCTGCAGCAGGAAAGCAAAGCTCAAACATGAAAAAGAAAAAGAAAAAGTCACAAGAGCTTGCTACTCTAAGCCTTTGGGCAGACTAAAGGAAGCATGATGGAGAATAGATTAGTCACTATCCAATAATGATAACATTTCCACAAATAACAAATCCCTAGCTGACAACACATTTGTGTAGAAAACTCAACAAAAATATGGTTTCAACTTATATATGCAGCAACCTGCATTGAGCCACAAAGCAAGATCATAAAGATGTGTCTTCCTGTTTGCTTCCTTTGGGGCCAGTTTCACAAGTTCCTCAGATTTATCTTATATTGCAGTTGGCCAGGAGATGAAAGCTTTTCCATGGGCATTACTATCCAGCAAGGAGAGGATTCTTTAATAATTTGTGAGTTGAAGACAAACAGGCTTCTGTCCAGCTTACTACACAGAATTGTGCTGCCAGTCACTCTCTGAATTAATGGGTTAAATTATTTATGTCTTCGGAGCTAGAGAAAGGGATATACAACTCTCAGTATACAAGTCATGTTATCCAGTGCAGACGTGTTCTTTTGTTATTTCAATTTTTATTTATTCGGAACTTTTCCTTAAATTGCTACAGTCATGAATTATAAACTTACATTGGCCTATTTCACACAGTACACTACCTCACAATGTCATTTTGTTTGGTTTGGCCTTTAATGTGCCAGGTCAATGCAGTCATTGTGACCTAAGCCGTGATTGTTGGTTTGTACAATATGCAAACCAGCCAATTCAGTAACCCATGGTTAAAATAAACCATGGCTTAGCACAATATGTGAAGCCATTCTGTATACTGCAATTTAACAAAAAGGTGGTATTAGAGTTTCTTGCCAAAGTGTATATCCTGTCTCCTGATCTGAGATAAACTCTGGCAAGGAATCAGCAGCAATGGTATTACTGAGGTATAGTATAAAAAGCTGCTTCCCCAAAATAAAAGCTCTGGTAGTCAAAACTGAAAACAAGTTTTTGTTTTTGCTATATCAGTATCACGTTGTGAAGCCAAAAGCAGCATAACTCTCAAACTCCCTTTTATGAAAACCTGAGATTCAGAACAATTGCTGCACTATGGTTTCAGCTCAGCTCATCAGTCAGTATCATATGCATATACCCACTGAAGGAATGCATCCAAATTAAAACTGAATTTTGCATTTAGGTCAGTAATTTTTAGTGTACTTCTCATCCCACAGATGTGGAACTGCAGGCAAATCTCCATTTAGAAGCCTAGAATATATCTCTTCTTGAGAGCAAAATTGTTTCCCTGGAGCATAGGAATGGTTAGTAAAAATCATGTGCTATTTTTCTTCCCACTATATCTACATTTTAGTCCCCCTAAGTGTTTATATAGCTGCATCAGCATATTGTACTTTATAAAGTTTAAGAAGCCACATCTCTGCCCTGAGTATAATTTAGTAAAAGGGAGATAGAGGAAGGGAAAAGAAACAGAGATGAGAAACAGGGTAGCAGTGTATAGTTGCTTTACCTGCTTAGGGCTAGTTACAAGTTATTGTTGCAGTCTTTCATCCATTGATCTTAGGATATATGCAGTGAATTCAATGAAACGTTTTTCAGAGCAGATGCATAGGATTGCATTTTAAGATATAGTTGGGCAGGATGAGAAATCTTTTTGAGTTGGGAGACTGTATTGGCCCACTGGAATTTTTGGGGATTGCACAAGTGCATTCTGCTTGTAATTGGACACTGTTGCACAGATTGGTTTCACATATTTCACTAAGAAATTATGTACTTTTATTTTTCTTAACGTGACATTTGCAAATAGCCACTGAGGTTTGCAGACCATGGGGTATGGCTTATTTGTGTAGCAACTCAGCCAACTGAAGTTTATCCAATAGAGTATGATTAAAGAAACCATAACTTAGTATGTATTTACCCTAATTATGTGTATTCACCCAATTATAGACTGGATCCATTCTTTCACTATCACATTGTTTTAGGAACATTAGGAAAATATTTTTTACCATTAGTACTACCCAGTGATTCAAATGTAGGAAAAATAATTCTGCTTCTAAAACAGCAACAAAAGAACAACCTTAACAATTACTTCATAACAGTAATTATAGCATAACAGTGCTACATACTGGGCTCTTTTGGGAGGAAAAGCTATACAAAATAAAATTATTCTCATGAATAGTAAATGTTAAGATTTATATTTTATTTCATATTATTTCATCAGCATATTTCAATACCCTGAGCCCTCACATGACAATATATAAACATTAAATGGAATATAATATGCATATAAAATTACTATTCTTAAAACAGATACACAAATCCTTCAAAAATGAACAGAATTAAGAATCTTTTGGACAGGAGTTCAGACTGAAATGTTAAAGTGTTCAGTGCTTTTAAAAATGAATACTATGAAACATTAATGGTATTGGTTCTGGTTAATTAATGTTAGAATAGGATTCAATACTTTTTAGTTTTAAAAATGCAACAAATGTAAAAATCCTCTAGGATCAATACTAGTAAATAGAAGACTGCTCAATGAGTGGTGCGACCAGTTGCAAACTAAATCACCATTTTGCACTTATACATATTTGCATATTTCTACTGATTTTTTAACATAAAAGCCGGTACACCTATATTCACAACTTTCACTCTTTTAAGTAACGTATCTTGCATAATTAGAGCATCATGCTATACAAAATCCCCATTTCATATTGCCTAGCAGCCGATAACTATAAACATTTTGAAGTATTTCACACAAGTAAATTCTGTAACATTTGCTTTCAGACATTTGTATTGATTCATTTTAAGTATGTTCCATTGTAAACCCATTAAACCCTAGTAAAATAATGTACACACCCATCATCAAAAGTGAAGCATAAGAGCTGGTTCAGGCAAGTCAGAAATAAGCAGCCTGAAATATTATAATAACAAGGGACAGTTGTAAAGCATCTCTTCAGCCCAAAGAGGAGCTTCAACCCCATTGTGCTGCATTTGCAGGAGAAAAAAGATGCAAGAATCTGTACCTGGAATTCACTATAAACAGGGTTTGTATTTGATACATAGCAGTCACTGGAATTCTTTCATAATTGCTTCATTCAGGTTTTTTGCAATAAAGTTGTGTATCAAAAGACCTGCATCCTGGAATGCCTTCTTGGGCTTGCTTCCAGTTCTAGTGTTTGGCAAAAGAAGCCAGCCAGAAGAGTTCCCATACATAAGGTTGTCTATATATCTTGATGGCACCAAGGAAAAAATCAGAGGACCTGAGTCTTTCAGGCTTGTATTATTATGGTTGGTTGACCATAATGGACTGGATTTGGCATTTTTATCCACCTATCAAGTCCTTCCCAAGGACCTGGAATAGGCAGATGTTGGTGTTAAAGGTATCGTTGTAGAATGTAAGCTGTTCCAGGTAAAGCTGCCTTTTGCAATTGACTGATGGTGATTTTGTCTCCTCCTCCTCCTCCTCCTCCTCCTCCTCCTCCTCCTCCTCCT